CAATTTTAATAGTCCGCCATTTTGATAAGGAGTTTTTTTTTTTTACGAACGTTTAGGTATAGTGCATATGTGAAAGCGATAGTAAAGTAATTCAGAACTGATACATCATCAAAGTCCGTCCATTGTTTACTTTTAAATCTATTTTTTTTTATACAACTTAGAATGGCAAACAAGCTGACGGCCCACCTGATGGAAAGTGGTAACCGTCGCCTATAGACATGAGCAGTACCATGGACATAACAGAATATACTGTTTCGCTCATGATACCTCCCATGCGTTGCCATTCCTCAGGACTCAGGTGTACCCAATAAATTCACGCCGTATCCCACCCTTCAAACCGAAATACAGCCATGCAAACACAACTGCTTCACGGTTGAAACACGAATGGGACAGAGGTACCCAAGCAATTGACTTTTGTACAGTCTCCCTCTGGTAAATCATTATTGGAATCATTACCTAAAATACGCTATGCGTTAGGTTAGGATATGACCTATCCGTGTAACAAATTTCATTAATAGGGTAGGAGGAGAGGGATTGTTAGTAATGGGGTCTAATTGCCCCATTGCTAGCAATATACCCCATCAGGTTGCTCTCCACGCGGTTCCCACTGGAAGTCGTTGTGATTACGTATTGTTGAACTTATCACGATGTACTAATTGGCCTACTTCATCCTCACCTATCATCCTTTGCTGGTGTCTCACTAGTGTACACCGAGAGCGCAGTCATTTAAAAAAAAATCTGACACGTGACGCATTTGTGTAGCAGCTGGTATAGAGATGGGACAGAAAAGTAAAAAGTGACGATCTATATTTGGATTGTCTATGGTCAATGAACGCCAGTTGCAGGGCTGTCAAAAAGGTCGATAAATTTGGCTCGGATTTTAACGAGCGATTAAGAACTGTTCAAATAACAAATTTACAATCGAATTGGAACACTGGTTCTATTAAAAACATTCGATATGGTATTATGATTCATGTGTGTGTGACTTGGAAAAAAATTAAAACTTTTGGAGTAAACTTTAAAAATATTCATTATTTATTTATTATACATATATATATATATATATATATATATATATATATATATATATATATATATATATATATAATAAACCAGAGGGAGACTTTGTACAAAAGTCGATTGCTTGGGTACCTCTGTCCCATTCGTGTTTCAACCGTAAAGCAGTTGTGTTTGCATGGCTGTGTTTCGGTTTGAAGGGTGGGATATGGCGTGAATTTACTGGGTACAGAGGAATAACATCTGAGTCCTCAGGAATGGCAACGCATAGGGGGTATCATGGGCGAAACAGTATACTCTGTTATGTCCATGGTACTGCTCATGTCTATAGTCGACGGTTACCACTTTCCATCAGGTGGGCCGTCAGCTTGTTTGCCATTCTAAGTTGTATAAAAAAAAATATTGTTATGAAAGATGTTAATAATTGATACAGTACATTCTAGACCGTGTAGGGGCACAGCAATTGGAAGCGAGGAGGGCGTCGATCCTTAAATTTGTCATAAATATTTTAATAATTAAATAATTCATTTTCAATTTCATCAATTTAATTAAATTCTAATTAAAATCCATTTATCCAAGGACTGGTAGAAAGATTTACAGGCAGAGACTGAGAGCTGATTAATGGATTGGCGTCATCATTTATTGACAAAATTTAAACCTGACATCCAAACAGCAGATTGGATTATTGTTCTATAAGGAACAGATTGCCAATTAGCAGACTAGAAAAAGAAAAAAAAAATCAAAATCCAAGTTAATTTAATGATTTTAACGATTTCTTTTTTGTTTCCATATGTTTTATTTTAATTTAATGCAATTTAATGTAGTTGTTCATATTTTTATATCATTTATTATTAATAAATCGATATAAAGATATGGACAACAAGCATTAAATAATGTAAACACAGATTTCGATTGTGGTAAAAACCGGTTATTTTTATTTAAAAACTACTATTAAACTGCTGAATCGATTTTTATAGAATTTCTTAGAGACCAATTTGAAACTCATTTTGGTTTGAGAAAAAAAAAGAATTTTCCAAATCGATTTATAATTGATTAAGTTATAGAGTAACATAAAAAAATATATAACCGAATTGAAAACCTCTTTTTATAAATTCGGTTGGAAATAGACATATTTAGAATTTACTTCTTTTGGCAATAGTTTTAATCCAGTTGGGATACGATTCTTGATTAATCTGGTATGGCGTCAAGAGGAATAACACCCGAGTCCTCTGGAATGGCAACGCATGGGGGTATCATGGGTGAGACAGTATACTCTGTTATGTCCACGGTACTGCTCATGTCTATAGGCGACGGTTACCACTTTCCGTCAGGTGGGCCGTCAGCTTGTTTGTCATTCTAAGTGGTATAAAAAAAAACCACAATTTTATGTTAACATTAAAAACTTATTTCAGAGAGTAACTGTAGAGTCTCTTGCGGTCTCTTCTCAGCAGATAACAACTTTCCGAACGCTGCAGTAGATTTTTTGTTTTTTTTTATTAGATGAAAATGGAATGGTAACTCCGCCTGCGCTAACGGGATACTGGCGGGGCACCAGTGAAGGGGGATAGATGAGAATGAAAACAGGCCAGTTAGCCCATCATGATGAATATATCTGGAATTAATCATGATAGTTTCCAGGGGGAACCGCGAGGAGGTCGGCCAGGTTAGATATATTGCTAGCAATGGGATTCTTAGTCTCCATTGATGCAGTAGATTAAAAAAAATACGATTTAAAAGTGCTTGCAAATAAGTCTATTTGAATAAAAATGAGTTTTAAAAAATTATAAAACTAAGGTCAAATCTGTTGTAATAGAGTATAGAATTAAACAAATCGGGTTTCTAGTTAATTGAGAGCAACTATATGACCTTATCAAAACTTGCAAAGATCAAGTTCAACGACCGATAACAACTATCTATGAAGTCTAGTCGGTAATGAATATAGATCTATTTAAAAAAAAACGACGAAATTTCGTTTGACGTTTTTAAATTAAATAAAAAGCAGGATTTTGTGTCGAAAAATCAGATCAGAGCTGTCTTAAGTCGTGATGAAATTAATATGGGACCAATACGAGACGGGAGTTACACCTTTTATTAAAAAATACTCAAAATCAGGTAATCTACCATGAAACGAAAATCTGAATTTTCGCGCTCAATTTTGTGTTTTTGTTCATACCAAAATCGACCCAGTAAATGGAGCTTAACATTTCTTTCATCATAAATCCTATCCTAATAGTCCAGAGGAATGATATTTTAACATTTTTAATAATTTTAAACGGCATGTATTATGTTATTTTAACATCAAATTTCTGTTTCGTTCGTGCCCGAAATTTCGGAAAATATTTCATGGTATTTTTTTTTTATACCACTGAGGTGGCAAACAAGCATACCGCCCACCTGATGGTAAGCGGTTACCGTAGCCTATGAACGCCTGCAATACCAGAGGTATTACGCGCGCGTTGCCGACCCTGAAGAAACCTCTTTACCCCCTTTTGAAGAACCCCATGCTGTAGTCTCTCGGGAATTGACGAAGATATATTATGGCAAATAAAAAATGGCCTCTGTATAAAGTTGCTTGAAAACTAAGGTAAACCAAATTGTATATACTTTAATTTTAGACAAATCAAAACTATGCGAATATCCAACTAAAATATGTAGACCTTTTATTTATTGACTATTGTTTTCTAATTTCTTTTTTCGTGATGTTAGAATGTTGCGTAGCATACAATGGTGATTCTATCAACAGTTGCATACATATAAATGACATTTAGTTGCTTCTGTAATTCCTTAAATAGAAAGACAAGAGCAATGAGCTATTTATAAATTTCTTGTACTTAGCAACCCTACAGGCTCGCGTGTTAATTCTCCGCACTCCACTCAGTTCATCGCGAACAGCTCGTGCCGTCTGACGCGTGCCGCGAGCAATTTGAACGTAAACAAAGAACATTGTGTTCGATATTTTAAATTTCGAATTGCGCGTTCTAAATAAGCTTGTTTATGGACGTACCTATAACGCTGTGGTCTTTTACTTCTATTTAAAAAAAAATTCTATGCTGTTGTTTGCCAGGTATTTTTGTTCTAAGTTTGAAATATCTCTGTTGTAATCATTTGGAGGGAAAATAGTTGATTGTAAATACAATGAAACTACAACAATTATAGGTGATTAATGTTTTGTTTACATTAATATTGTCAATGTCAAGGCCGTTATAGGATATGAGAAATAGAAATAGCCTTGTAAACGTCACTTAGTATATTAAAATTCGTAAATTATTCATCCTATCTTTCATTATATTAATCTTATCAGTTATCAAATACAGTTTTGTCTGTTGTTCTTTTTTTGTTTTTTTCTTTATTCGTAGATATTATTTCGATCATAAAATAATAAAGAAACTATAAAGTTCTCTTCTAATACAATAAAACGTTTGTTTTGATAGCCGAGTTCAAAAGTCAATGCATTCTCTTTTATAAAACAATTGATTTTATTAACGATTCAATTGTAATAAGCGAATTAATTATCCTCCATTTTTCGTTTAACACTTTTACATTTAATTTAAATTGTGATAGGTGACACTTATTTCTTTTTTTTTAAAGGCTTGTACCATAGTTTATTTGTAACGAACGATTCCATTTTCAAATTGTTCGTATCGTATTATATCTCAATATTTGAAATACACGATAACATGTGTTGTATCGTGTTTGTGTTTAATTCAATTTGTTTATTATCAGCCAGTATTACGTCTTGATTTCTTGAATAGAGAAATTGCGTTTTATTTTATCAAAACTAACGTATGTTTGACGTTTTATTTAGTGTTTATTTTTAGTTTGTTTATAAACAAAGTGATCACTCTTCTTGACGCTACTTTAACCTTTATATTTTCTTGATTGACAATTGAATCGTACTTAAAAGGATCTGTTATCTAATTTAATTTACTTTTTAATAAGACAGCCACAGTGTTGAAGGTCACACTCCCTTTGTCCCAATTTAGATATATTACCACGAAGTGAAGTGATTTGGCAAAGTACCAAAGACAAAATTTGTAAACTTTTTTTTCTTTAACCCAGTGAAAAAGTGACTCAATAAAGATGTATCGCGAAATGTCGTCCGTTGCACTGACACGTCGCGTTGTGACAAGAAAGTGACAGTTCATCAAAATGTCCGCTGTCAAGCGCAAAAAGCGGATCGACGAAGCGCCTAGCAATCTGAACAGGACTCGCAAAGTTTAGTTTTTATATTTTTCCATATAAACCTACTCGGTTTCATTTGATCTCACAGTATTAGTGCTCAATAAAAAGACTGATTTAAGTAACAACCGTGATCATGATTGCCTTGAAGAAACTGTACGGGGACGAGCTGCTCCGGCTCGCTCTAGTCCTGAGCTTGCTGAAAGCCGACCCAAACGATTATCTTGAAAGGGAAACACAGCAACTAATCGCTGGTCTCCACATCTCGAACGGATCTGATTGGTCGTTAGAACAGGAAGCGAGGACGTTGATAAGACCACGCTACGTACACCCGAAGTCTCTCGACAATATCCTAATAAACTACGAGAGACAGCTTTTCGAGGAGTTGAACTCGCTTGGTCGGTACGCCAGTACGTACAACGAACATAATGACCGGATATTTAATCAAGTTCATACATATTTAGTGAATAACGTGGCGACCGATACAGTCGCGCCTGTGTTGGCAGCCGCGACGGTCCCCGATGAGACTCCAGAAAGCGATGGGGTGTCCGCGGACGAGAATGTGGCGCAGGAAGTGAAGGTCTCTGATGAGAATGAAGAGCCTCCATCTGAACCCGACGCTGTCGTCACCGTATCAGCGGATTACCTGCACAATCACACCGAATCCGACATATTTGCCGAAATAGGCACGAGGTCTTTCGACGTAAACGAGTTTTTAGTGCAACCAAATGAGATGCAGATCAAAACGGAACCAAACGAGGACCCCGACTTGGTGAATATCAATGTGAAGACAGAGGACAGCGACGATTTGTACAGTGACAATGCCATCGACGAATATGTCTCATATTTCACGGCAAAGTCCGAGAAATTCGAATTGGACGAGACTGATTCAGTTTTTAATCAAAACATGGCTGATTTGAGAGATTACGATGAGTTCAATGATATGAAAGAATTAAGAAACGAATTGGATTACCTGAATGTTAAACACCAAAATCTCGATCAGTACCTTTTAGAGAATACGCCTTTGGATTCGGAAGTGTACGACTTGGCGCCGATGTTCGACGACGAGTTAGTTTTGGATGTGAAGAGAGAAAGAGCCAGCACTAGTTTCACATCAGCGAGCTCTAGTGGTGTGAGTGAAATGGATATATCCGGAAGTGAGACACAGGACTTCAAGTCGGAGCCGGACGAAGGCCACCACAGCGGGGATGAGTTGACGCAGGAGGTTAGTTGCATGCTTTATTATTTTGATAAGAACACCTTAACCTACATTATGACGACCTCAACTCGTACAAAAGTTATGTGCATCTCTTTCATTTAATATAGGTATGAGCCAGATGGCACTAAATACTGGAACTGGAACAAGAATTATTTTAATAACATGTTGAGAGCATAGCGATGTATGGCAACGTCGCAATTGCCTGTCAATTTTTGAAAACAATTGAACATTTTTCAATGTTTCCGATTGATTATTTAAAAAGTTCTCAGCTAGCGAAGTAAAGTGTTAATCATGCATTAATATTCTTATTAAGCTGTCACTGAATGGATGGATGATATGGATTTTGATGACCAAAAATATATTTGAAAAATTCTGAAGCAAAATATAAAGTAGGTGCAAAGTTTTCAATGGTATAATTATATGCAACGTATTCCATGATTAACGTTTTAGTTCGGTAGCAGAGCACTCTTTAAATAATCAATTAGAAACATTGAAAAGTCTTAAATTGTTTTTTTAATTGACGGGTAATTGCGACGTTTTAAAAGGACGAAAATTTGATATATAGTCGCCGTGCGGTCCCGACTTAAAATAGGCCACCCCTTCCTTTCCCGTGGGTGTCGTAAGGGGCGACTAAAGGAACTTAATGGTTGAAAGATGGCAGCAGCAGCGTCCATCTTAAAACATCTCCGAAGTCTAACTGCGATTTCCAATCCGCCTGCCAAGCGTGGCAACTACAGGCAAAACCCCTCCAAGGGGGAGTTTTATGTTTAGCAGTTCTTTTTAATGGGTGATAATGGAATGGTAACCCCGCCTGCTATATCGGTATACACTGGCGAGGCACCGGTGATAGATGACTGATGAAGATGAAAACAGATCATTTAGCCCATCCTGACGAATTCAACTAGAATTAAACACGATGGTTTCCAGGGGAACTAAGGGGAGGTAGACCTGATCGGGTATATTGCTATTAATGGGGCTATTTGACCCCATTATTAACAATCCCTTTGTCCCCCCTATGTTCAGCAGTGGACAGACGCCTGTCAGCCTTGATATGATGATGATGATGAGATATATAGTCGCTCTCGTATTTTTCTTTTTTTTTCTAAATTACGTCCAGTCCATATTTAGTATTTGCAACGCTTTTCTGTGTCATTGCTTTATCCAGCGCATACCTATCTGGTACGTAAAGGACACTACATTAATCAAAATAGGACTAGTGTCCTAACCTTGTTACCAAATCGGATACGAGCTATAAATAGTAACCAATACCGCCGTTTGTAGTGAATTGTGTCTAAAAATAGGTTTTACGACAATAAAATTTCCAATTTGTAACACGTAATATATGGGACTGGAATAGGCCACACCTTCCTTTCCTGTTCGTGTCGCAAAAGGTGATTAAGGTAACTTAATGCTCGAGAGATTGGCAGCAGCGTCCCTCTTAAAACATCTCTAAAGACTAACTGCTGTTACCAACCTATCAAGCGTGGCAACTACTGGGAAAGCCATCCTTATGGGTAAGGCCTATGTTCAGCAGTGGACAGTAAACGGCTGTTACGGAATAATGTAATGTAAATAGAACTCTATTTTCCGCGTTTAGCCTCTCATTTGGACCGTTGTGCGTATGAGTCGTGGCTAGTACAGCCAACCCAGCTCCGCCCAGAAGCACAGAAGCTTCCTGGGATCTTCACAGGCCTCACGGAGCGACCTCACCGTTCCGAGGATTTCTAAACGTTGATGGGCCACAGCTTCACATTCCAAGATTACGTGAGCAGCCGTTTCTTCGGCGTCGAAACAGCCTCGACATAGAGGGTTGTCTGTGGCTCCTATTGTGTATAGATGTTTGTTTAATGGACAATGGCCCGTTATTGTCCCTATCATTATTTTGAGGTTTTTCTTATCTAGATGTAGATAAACGTTTTGATAGTCTTTGATTCAACGTTGTTAGGGAATATTAATCTTGAAATAAATACCAATAGATTGATATTGAAATTTAGACGTTTCTCACTCTCGAATTGCAACGCTAGCGACACAATGGTACTAATATTGTTAATCATTCCGGTAATGTATCCTCAAATCAAAATTATTCAACGAATTCATTTTTAGTAATACATTTATGTTCAACTTGTTCTTTAATGTTTTAATATTAAATGTTTTAATTCGCTATCGGAATACATTTTAAATAACCAGCGTCGTGTTGTTGCCCTGTGATCTCGGTATAGAATAGGTCGCTCCTCCCCTTTCCGTGGGCATCGTAAGAGGCAACTAAGGGAGGGCGAGGAATGGGCAATAGCATTCCTCTTAAAACATCTCCAAAGCCTAACTGCGGTTGCCAATCCGCTTGCTAAGCGTGGCAACTACGGTAAAACCTCTCAAAGAGAAGGCTTATGTTCAACAGTGGGCAGTTAAAGGCTGGTCTGATATCCGAGGTTGCCACACTTCGCGCTCATAAGATCTTTCATCCACTAAATACATTTTGATTACTTGAAACATAAGACCGGATTTCACAATAGCACCAGAAGGAAATTCCACAATGCAGCGTAATACAGTGAATATTATATGATTCAGGGCTCCATCGTTGGCTTCGTACCAAGGTCTCTAGGTTTATTTAGATATTAGTTTTTTAAAAGGTACGGAACACGCAAACAGCTGACCTAATTGTTAGAACAATGTTGAATATAATGTGTGAATTATAGTGTACAGGGGGGAAAGGGATTGTTAGTAATGGAGACTGAGGATCCTATTGCTAGCAAAATATACCCAATCACGTCGACCTCCTCGCGGTTCCCCCTGGAAACTATCGTGGTTAATTCCTAATGAATTCATCGTGATGGGCTAACTGGCTTGTTTTCATTCTCATCTATTACCCTTCACTGGTGCTCCGCCAGCGTATCCCGTTAGCGCAGGCCAGGGGGTTACCATACCATTTTCACCCATCAAAAAAAAAATCACGACTTATGGGTTTGTTACACGAAATTAGTGTAAGAGTTTTTAGTAGGATCTTCATGTAAGAATTTAGTCTCCATTCTCACTCACTCACACTGACTCGGTCTCCATTACTAACAATCCCTTTCCTCCCATAAGTCGTAAGTTTAAATTTCGAAACAAACGTTTCGAGAATTAAAATTAAAAAAAAAAACAATAGTAAATGTGCCAATACAATCTTCTTGAATTGTGTATTCCAATTAAGAGATAATTACACAAACAATCTCACTAGGGGCACAAGATAAACTCTGTACAGCCATCAAATTAGATTATATTTATTCTCAATCTATGATTTATTATCAATATTTGTCATTCTAATCAATAATTGTCACATTTATAAAGCAATAAAAGAGCAATTACTAATAATATGGCCATAAAGTTGTACACCAAATTAGATGTTTCTACTTTGGCCTTTAAATATGGCTGCATAAAAAAAAATCCGTGCCATAATGTGCCACAATGTTTCTGCGTTACTATGCCAATGCACGTCTCTAAAGCGTAGAGTCTAGGCCAGTTTTAGTACTATCTTGAAAGACTGTCATTACTTGAATCATTGTATTTTGATTTACATGCTGGCTGGTATAAAATAAAAGTAGGTTATGTTTTTTTTTATACAACTTAGAATGGCAAACAAGCTAACGGTCCACCTGATGGAAAGTGGTAACCGTTGCCTATAGACATGAGCAGTACCGTGGACATAACAGAGTATACTGTTTCGCCCACGATACCCCCCATGCGTTGCCATGGGTACCTCTGTCCCATTCGTGTTTCAACCGTGAAGCTGTGTTTGCATGGCTGTGTTTCGGTTTGAAGGGTGGGATATGGCGTGACTTTACAGGGTACAGAGGAATAACACCTGAGTCCTCAGGTATGGCAACGCATGGGGGATATCATGGGCGAAACAGTATACTCTGTTATGTCCATGGTACTGCTCATGTTTATAGGCGACGGTTACCGCTTTCCATCAGGTGGGCCGTCAGCTTGTTTGCCATTATAAGTTGTATAAAAAAAAATTGCCCTAGCGATAAGACCGCCTTTTATACCCTTATGTATATATTTGAATCTGTACTTCATGCTACTGTATTTCACTTAAAATTTCTAATTGTCATTGTATATATTTTTTTGCGAAAGAGGTTTGTTTGAATCGAAGCATTTGACGTCCCATTGTTTCTGCCTACCCTAATGGGAGACAGGCGTGACAGATATGTATGTATGTATGTATGTATATTTTTTTATATGTAATAAAGAGTTTAAGAATTAAATAGTATAACGGTCGTCGAGATTATTATTGCTATAAAATTTGTTACAATTAAAAACGTACTTTAATCCGCCATCTTGATTTATATTAGGTACGTAATTGTTTAACGAAAACAAAACATAATTCCAAGATATGTAATTTTGTATCGATATTTAATTACTCCGATTGTCGTTGACCCCGCGGAATCGTTGGCTTAATTGATAAAGCGTTTTGGTATTTATTTTATTACTTTAGTTCGAGTATCAGGATGTTTGAAGTGTTCCTTTGTCCAAATTTTATTTATATTGATAATTTTAAATAGGTACGTTCGGGGAGAAAGGGATTGTTAGTAATGGAGACTGAGAATCCCATTGCTAGCAATATACCCAACCAGGTCGACCTCCTCGCGGTTCCCCCTGGAAACTATCGTGGTTAATTCCTGATGAATTCATCATGATGGGCTAACTGGCCTGTTTTCATTCTCATCTATCACTCTTCACTGGTGCTCCGCCGGTGCGTCCTGTTAGCGCAGGCGGGGTTACCATACCATTTTCACCCATCAAAAAAAAATAGGTATGTTCGTATTGTTTGAGACGATGCACTGCAACTTATTTGGAAGTATATTGAAATGTCTTGGCCTCTTTTGTACCTAATATGTTTTTTTTTTATTGCAACTTAGAATGGCAAACAAGCTGACGGCTCACTTGATTACACTATTAACAATCCCAATGGGGGGGGGGGCAGGGATTGTTAGCAATAGGGTTTAATAGCCCTATTGCTAGCAATA